CCCTTGTGGTCTCTTTCAACTCTATGATTCTATGATTCTATGAATTCAGCACATGTGTTTGTCTCTATAGCATACTTCTACCAAAACCTCTTTTCCCACGGTATCCCATGGATTAACTGGGAATAGCGCTTGGTTTGATCATGAAGAGATCCCTATCCCAAGCTATCCCACCAGGATAGGAAGCCTTCCACATTTTGTCATACTATTTATTGATACCTTCCTAGAAGCCAACAGAGTAGGCAGTAGCACTTTCAAATACCTTGCAATCATAACAGTGGTGACCTTTTTTTTTCAGAACTATGTCACTAGAAATAATAGAAAAGTGATGATTAGTATTGTTAAATATGCCTTCCTGGTTGGAACAGCTAGAAAAGACAAATCCTTCTCCTGAATCAGAGGCAGCTGATCAATAACTGCCTCTAACAGAGAAAGATATCACCCAACCTCATTAGAGTGTTTGTGACACACACAGATACTTATAACTAAATTTCTGTCTTTAACAAAGATTGCCTGCTTATCCTTTTTGGAAAAATTACACCAAACATTAACTGAAAATAGTCCACAAACAACTTTGATTTTGTTTTTAGTCCCCTGAAATTTATAACCAGTAACTAGCAAGACATTCCTGACAGTATTAGTTCCTTCAAAGAAACTAATGATTCACTATGGAGAGTACCATCTATTATTCGGAAGGCCAGTAGCAAATCCAGGCAATTACAAGAGGGTCAACAAGACAAGAAAATTTCTTCCAGTGGCAGGCCTAATATTAATATTAACTATTCTGATAGAAAATCACTTTTGAGTGCCAACAGGTTATAAAGGCTTGCTAAATTCATTAATAAATCAGTTGGCAGTTATCATATTTCACAGAAACACCTGCATATTTATCTTCTCATTACCAATTGGTGGATGGAATTTTTTTCAAGCACATTTCAAAAATCTGCCAACTTCAAATATATAAAAAAATAAACTTTGCAGTTAATTTTTCCCTTAACAAAGTACAGCTGTTGAGAATAATTGTTCAAGATCTTACCCTGTAATGTCAACTGCAGCAGAACAAAGAGTATTTAATTAGCAAATCTATCCAGTAATTCAACACCTATTATATAAAATGCCTTTGTGATTTTATTCAGGATAATTTGCTAAGAGGGTTATTACTGACATTCAGATGAAATTCAAAAGTCCTACGCAAGTAGAGTCATAATAGCTGTAATGATCCCCCCAATCAGGAGATCTTGTGTCACACAAGGCTCTTTTGCAATGCAGTAGCTGATTTCCTGACTTCTTAATTCCTGGTCTCAGCCCAGTGAGAGCCCTTCATGCCAATATTTCAGTCAGCAATACATGTTTAATGGGAATCTATTAAAATACCTAGAACAAAAGTGACTTTTTGTTAAAAATGACAGCACTGCGATCATATCAATCATTAGAAATGTACAATGTAATGATGGATTTTATGATGTGGTTGGAAAAAGGAAAGGGACAGAATAAAAAAATCCTTATTGTTTTCTGTAATGAATATTTTGTGTTCCACTTCAATTTGCCTGTTCCTTGGGTAAAATTATTTAGAGCAGAAAAACTATTTGCTTCATCATGCTTTTTCTTCCTCAACCTACACTAGTAAAAATGTACACAATGGCCACTGCATAACAAATTGCACTTATTAAATTCTACCAGAGTTCTTCCACTAAAAAAATGACAATTCCAAAGTGTGTATGAATATTGTTGACTACTTGCACACCCAGCTACTATAGATTCATTACCAATTCTGAAAGGTGTGTAATATTCAGAGCAGCATGGCAGTTGAGAATGACTGTTCAGAAAAGACTAAGGGCTGCATCATACACTACTGAGTTGGTATTCATATACCATGAACCCATAGTATGCAACAAAGATACTGTATATGTCTATATTTAAATCACATTTATGCAGCAGAGATCTTTGCATGGTATGTGTACCTTGTGAAGTGAAGATGGGTAGAAATTGTTATTTGAGAACAAACACAAAACGTCATCTACCAGGTCAAACAAAATTGCATTGTCAGAATTGAGAGTATTTTCTGGGCACATTGAGAAATCGCATACTGCTCAATATAAAAACACTAAATGTCCAAAGGAGTTTTTGTATGTGCATAATCACGTGTGTGTCATTCAAACATCGAAAGCCATAAAACACAGGGTAGGTTTTTAAAAATCAAATTGGGTATAATAAATTAAAATGTATAAATTTCCTGTATTGTAATATTTCCCAAACTTAAATGTCATCCTAATAGAAGACATTTTGATTTCCCCCAAAGACTTCTGATTTCCTCATTCCCCGATCTCTCTTATACTCCTCTATTATGACCTGTAAGTCTCCTACTCCATAAAATTCATTACTCTATGAATAGTCAGTAAGAACAATTATTTTTCCTCTCATGAGAAAAGCCTGCCCTGAAACTATAAGCCTTTCTTTCTGGATTGTTCAAGGAATTTATGTCTGAATAAGTATCAAAAAACAAATCTACTAGAGCTCCACTCAAATCAGCCCTGCACTTCTACTGCATGCTGCATGTGCCATGTATGTCCGCTTTTCAGGAACCAATATGGGGATGGGAATCATATCTCTCTAGTGCAGAAGAGTCACTGGATCACCCACCAAGTTTTTTTTTACTACCGATATGTGGCAGAAACAACTACAACTTATTAATTTTTATTTATTGTATTCTTACCCTGCCTTTCCCAAGTGTTGCTGACAAAATGGGATTCAAGGTTGCTTACAATACTTTAAAAATAGATCAAGAAGCCAAGGAAGATGGGAACTCTATGTTAAAGGCAAAGCCAAGTTGTTTACAAATGGCAGCAACTCTGCTAGTGCAAGATTATGGCTCTGGATCTCTCTTTCCAGCAAAAAGGCAAACAACAGGAGAAGGCAGCACAGAAGTCAAAAGCCTCCCTTGTCCTAATCAGTAGGTTGATCTATTGTAATTATTTCTGAGACTTCTAGTTTCTCCCATCAAAACCCAAATATACTGTTGATTTAGATTAGGGAGGGGGTGTTGCTAATTCCTGCGTATGGATTAAGTACTGAGAACCTTCAGCCTGAGGACCAAATTTGTCAAGCTAAACTGCTTAATTCAGCAAATGGTGCTTCAAGGAAAGTCCTTCCTCTGAAGCCTTTCATTCTCCAAAAAGAGACACTAGGAAAAGTGACTCAATTCATTCTGTTTCTCCCATATCTTCCCCACCCAGAGTAATGAAGGTAGTTAGGTACAGAACTGATGCATCAAGGAACTAGCTAAGTCCTACTTTGCTCTCTTTTCCACTCATCTAACTGTGAAAGAGGGAGGAAGAAGTAGAGCCAGTTTGGGATTCCATTGGATCTTCAAGCTGTCATACAAGAATGGGAAAGGTGTGGGAGGACCACTGTCCCTTTCTCCATGCAAAGAGGGTCACAGAGTAATTGTTCCATGCTTTTCTCTGAACAAAGAATGGGGTTATCATGTTGGGGGTGGGGCTTTGGGTGACATCAACTTACACAATTTTGCTTCCAATTCACAGTTACTGTGACCTGGTTCCTTTCCTTTAGCACAGCGGTTCTCAAATAGTGGGGTGGGCCCCCCAGGGGGGGCGCGAGGCTCCGTAAAGGGGGGCCCGTTACGGCTGGAGAGAGGGAGATTGTCCCAGCACAGCCCCAGTAGCAGCCCGACGTTCTCTATCCTGATTGGTCAAACCCACCCATGTGACTATTTACAGTCATGCGGGGGGCGCAAAATGTTTTCTTCTTTCCTGGGGGGGGGGGTGACAGAAAATAATGGAGGAGCACTGCTTTAGCATCACCCTGTCCCCACCCATCACTGTTACTCAGGCTCTATTCTAAGGGTCTTGAGTTGTGGGAACAAAGACCATGGGTCTATGAGACAGAATGGAAGAAAATTGGGGGTTAAATCTTAGCTAGATTTACATAGAGATATCTTGGCGTGCATATTTGACTGCTGGAATGAATTCAATGAGTGCTATGGTGACTAGGTTTTTGTGAAATTAAAAGGCAATTATGGAGAAGCTATCTGGTTGGAAATTTTCACTGGTTCTAAACTTAAAGTGTACCCTGTCTCTACGGTCAGGTTATTTGCCAAAGGAGAAAGAGATGCTGTTTCTGAGCAATAAAAGATCATATGGTGCACTTTTCTTTCCTGATTTGCTGTTTACCAAAACAAAACTGAATTTTCCTGATCAGAAGAAAGGAGACTGATTTGAAAACAGGAAAATGTGGGTGTGTCAGTGGATGAAAAAAACAGCTGTAACCCAGGAGAGAAGTGTTATATTTTCTCGTTTTGATTCTACTTTTTCTGATTTTTCCTGTTCTGGGGGCTTAAAACATCAGTTTATGTTTTATTGTTGTGATTTTTGACAAAAGCTCCATTTTTAAAATTG